TTCACACAAGATCCTGGGGGTGGGTTCAAGCCTGACGTAGGCTCTAGATCAGATAAAGTCCGAGAAACAGTGGTTCTCAACTCTGGCTGTGAATGCACACCCCAGGTCATTTATAAACTCTAGATGATGTTAACAGGTGGCCAGGTCGACCCCCAGCTCCAGGAAAGTTGACAACCTGAGGGCAAGGACTCAAGAAGCCTGAGTCTATTCCCCCATCTATTCTTCCCCCAGTTTGCAGCACACTGCCTGCCACATAGCTGTGTCCATAGAATTCTACAGGAAAACTCCCTCCAGGGTGCTTCCAGACCTAACTAAATGCCTTTAAAAGAAATTGCCTAGAACTTTCCAAATCCCTAACTACAATGACTGAGGAGATGAATTTACAGAAAGTCAGTGTTTACAAACCACTTGCCTCGGTTTTTGGAAATGAGAGGAAACAGAAACTGAGATGGAAAATACAGATGAACTTCAGAATTAAACTTCAGAAAACGGTGGCTACACAAGGAGATGGACCTTGGGTAGGGAGAGAGTGTGGTGTGTTGGGAGGAGTCCTGGGTTATGACTAAAACCTCAGGCTGTGAACTCCTTCAATACCGACCATAACAGCATAGCATTGTTCTCAGCGTAAAATCAGGCCAAGCCCTTTCATTATATAAATAAGGGAACTGAAGTCCAGAGAAGCTGGCAAGGCCATGCCACCAGTTAGGGACAAAAGAAGGCCTAGGTCCTCCACTTCTGGTTTAGTCCTCCTCCTGCAGCACAGCTTTGCCACAAGCACAAGCCTTTCTGGACCTCAGGTCCTGATCTACAGGGGGTCTGGACTAGATGTTTTTGAGCTCTCTTCCAACTCTGGCCTTCTAGTGAGGCAGTGTAGCTTAACAGTTAGGAGCTGTGTTCTGGAGTGGGAAAGGCCTGAACTTGGATCCTAGCACTAACAATTTCCTTACCTATAAAATGGGGATTAGCATCAACCCTACCCTGTAAAGCTGTTGTGAGCATCAAGTGGGATAATAAAGCACTAAGCATAATAGCAGATTTCTAACTGTGTGAACCTGAAGAAACTGCAAAAGCTCTGAAACCACGTTTCCCCAACACAGAAAGCCCTACCTGCTAGGCAGGTATATTGTGTATTGTTGACACAATGAGAGAGCATATGTGAAGGCAGTCCAGGAGGAAAGTCAATACAAAAGGCAAAGCATTTGTTGGTGTTCCACTATTATTATTACTGTTTCCCAGTGGAAGAACTTTGGAAAATGTTATGATCAGTTCCGAAGCAGCAGCCAATGCAATGCCTGGCAAATAATAAGTGCTTAACAAATATTTTCTAGTGACTCACAGTAAACCAGCATAGCATGCCTAATAGGGTTAAAAATTCAAATATCTTAGGCAGCCAAGCAGGTAAGTAAATAAACCAAGCAGCCTCCACGTAGGGTCTGTAACACTGCAAAGTACCACCTTGCCTAGAGGAGTTTAAATCCAACATTTTTAAAAACACATCAGGCAGCTGGGCCAAGACAGCCCCTTTGCAGCCTCTAGCCCATACTGATTCTGGCTCTTCATTACACCACATGATGCCTTGCATGCCATCTAGTCATTTTATGTGATCCAGTCTTGTCTTTCCAAGTATACCTGAAGCATCCTGAAGATGAAGGCTATGACATACACCGCCCAATCACCAAAAATGGCCTAGAACAGTGCTGGTCACATGGTGGATACTCAGTGAACAATTGCTGAACTGGGGCTGTAGGCCGGGTGTGCTGGCTCATGCCTGTAATCTCAGAACTTTGGGAGGCCGAGTTGGGTGGGTCACTTGAGATCAGGAGTTCAATACCAGTCTGGCCAAAATGGTGAAACCTTGTCTCTACTAAAAATACAAAAATCAGCCGGGCATGGTGGCGTATGCCTGTAATCCCAGCTACTCAGGAGGATGAGGCACAAGAATCACTTGAACTCGGGAGGTGGAGGTTGCAGTGAGCCGAGATGGCACCACTGCACTCCAGCCTGGGCAACAAGAGTGAAACTCCGTCTCAAAAAAAAAAAAAAAAAAAAAAGAGAAAGAAGCCAGGCTGTAAACTCAAGCCTAGTATTCCCAGCACCTCTGAGATGCTGCATGGTATGTATGTTTTTCTGTCCAGGTCCTGGGACCAGACTTAGTCCAGGCTGGGCTGAGGTGTGGTGATGGTCAAAGAAGGACTTGCCTTGCAGGGTTTTCTTCAACTGCACCAAATATGCTTCTTGCTGAGCCACCTTGGCAGGTGATACTGCTACATCTGGACACATTATCTCAGCACAGAACAAGCTAGAATATGCTGTACACTGAAGTTTTTAAAGAAGTTTGGTCCCTACTTCCTGTACCCTCAAACTTCCTTTGCACCTCCCTAGAGTAAGCATGAGGTATACAGAAAGACCAGATGGAAGATAATAGATAGAGGTCCTAATCCCACCTCCTCCACTTACAAACTCTAGAATCATCCCTGGCAGGCAACCTCTTTTAGAAACTTCACTATTGATAGCAGTAAAGTGCAGATAACAATAGTTATCTCAGAATACGCTAGAGGGTATATAAAGTGTGTGACACTGTACAGCCCAATACCACAATCCCTGGCCATAGGTGGCTTCTATGCACTTGAAAAGTGGCACAGGCTGCCCTCAGTGTAAAATACAAACCAGGTTTCAAAAACAGTACAAAAACCAAGAACATAAAATATCCCATTAATAATTTTATATTGATTATGTTATAATATAATTTTGGAATATATTGTGTTAAATATATTACTAAAATAATTTCAGCTGTTTCATTTTTTAATGTGGCTACTATAAAATTTAAAATTATATCTGTAACTCACATTACATTTCTATTAGACAGCAGCATCACTCTAGCATAGGGCCTGGCACACAAAAAGCATTCCAATTGTCAGTTTCATTCCCCTACAGGTAGGACATCGGTGACCACCATTCACATCCCCTTCCTCTTGCCAAATTCAAACCCTGCCTTTATTTATTTGGTAAATATTTATAGTGCCTGGCCCTGTGTGAGATGCTAGAGATACAACATGAAGCAAAACCAGACACTATCTTTTTCGTGGACCTTACAATCTGGTGGGATGGGCAGAGAAATATCAACACTTTTGTAAATAAATGTAAAACTGCAGTTGTACAAGTGTTGCTAAGGACAAGTACCCAGGGTGATAAAGTGGGGTACTGGTCCAAGAGTCAGGGACAGGGATGCCTTCCCTGCAGAAGTGATGCTTAAGTGGAGATTTGAAGGATGAAGAAGAGTTTACAAGACTAAGCCGGGGGAGGAAGAGCAGACCAGGGAGGAAGAATACTCAATAAAAGGCCCCAAGGAAGGCAGGAGCTTGCGATGTAGAAGGAACAGAAAGAGGCCAGTGTGTGGAGAGTACTGAGCAAGCGGACGGACGAATAGACAGACGGGAGAGGTCAGCGGGACCAGATACCAAGGGCCTGGGTGAGGTTCTGGATCTGACCCTACAAAGGGGTGGGACGCCGGGCCACTTTCATGCCTTAAGTATCCAGATCTGCTCTGCATTTCTCGGCTGGGCGCGGTGGCTCACGCCTGTAATCCCAGCACTCTGGGAGGCCGAGACGGGCGGATCACTTGAGGTCAGGAGTTCGAGACCAGCCTAACACGGTGAAACCTCGTCTCTATTAAAAATACAAAAATTAGCTGGGCGTGGTGGTAGGCGCCCGTAATCCGAGCTACTTGGGAGGCTGAGGCAGGAGAATAGCTGGAACCTGGGAGGCGGAGGTTGCAGTGAGCCGAGATCGCGCCATTGCACTCCAGCCTGGGTGGCAGAGCGAGACTCCGTCTCAAAAAGGTTTCCAAAAAAAAAAGGAAAGGTTTCTCTGGGCACGGTGAGAGGCCGACAGGAGAGGGGCCCCTGTGCCTGCGGCCAGACCACTTAGGACACTGCAACTGTCCAGGCAGGAAGCGAGAGGGGCCTGAACTGAAGCGAGTGAGCGCAGGAGGTGGAAAGCACATGCACTGGGGGGGCTACTGAGCCGGCAGGATCCACAGGGCGAACTGGTGGACGCGGGCAGCGGAGTCCAGGTCGAGTATGACCCCGGGCTTTCAAGTCGTGCGGGTCCGCCCCGAGCGCTCTCCGGCTTCTTCCAGACCCTCTCCTTGCCCTCCTTCCCCGATCTTCCCACCCAACGCCTCCCTCCTTCTCCCTCCGACCGCTGCCCGGCCCAGCCCCAGCGCCTGACTGCCTGGCCCGCCCTCTTCCGCCACGCGACGCCCCTTCTGGGTCCAGGACCCGGTCTCGCCTCCCTTCCTAAGGCCCCGGCCGGGGCCGCCACCCCTCACTGACCTGACGAACCGGCGCGGTCCAGCCCAGGCCCGCCCTCTCAGCCCCTCAGCCACCCGGGCAGACGCAGGCCGCAACGCTCGGCCCGGCCTCTCTTCCCTGCGTCTTTCAGACCAGGCCCCTCTCCACCGCCTGCTGCGCCCCATCCCCCAGCGCACCCCTCACTCACCAGGGCGCCGACCTAGGCCCAGCTCCCGGTCCTGGGTCTCCCCTCGGCTGCTCCTCCAGCCTCCGCCCGCCCCGCCTTCTTGGGACCCCGCCCCGCACAGGCCGGGCCGGGCTCCTATTGCTCCGACTCGCCGTCACGCTGAACTCTCTTTCTTCAATTGGGTTGCTTGTCTGTCACTCAAGCAGGGGCGGGCACAGCTGCCGGTAGAGGGGAAAAACGCCGGCCGTCCCCGCCCCCCAGTGGAGGCCTCTTAAAGAAACAGGACGCCTTTCCCCTGCGGGCTACAGGGTCTGAAGGAACGAAATTTCCCAACAAACCCAAGAGGCAGCTTTCTTTTTCCCCTAAACTTTTTTTTTTCTTTTTGGTATGCAGTCCTAGAGTGAAAGAAAAGGCTTTTGTTCCCTGTGTCAAATCATAGGTTGTGAGCTCTCAGCGGGCCTCTGGTGGCACTCCGCCCTGTGCCCAGCGGGCACTTAACCGCACACTCAACAGTGGGGATAGCTGTGGTTTGGGGAACTGAGTGGGAGGTGACAGTCGTGTCAGAGGCTGTGAGCAGCCGCGCTGCTCACCACCGAGTTGGAGCTAATTATACCGGCACCCAGGGCTGACCGTGGGCGCTGAGCAGAGGCAGAAGGGTACAACTCAGCTGTGCTGTTGGAAGGGATCCGTGGGAGGTGGCATTCGTCACTGCACCTGCGGATCGGAACAAGGCCAGGCACCGCGCCAAGGACTCACTCCTGCTGTCTCTCTTCATGCTTACAGCAGCCCTGTGGTGGAGGGAGCATCGTGATCCCTTCGCTGCAGATGAGGAAACTGAGGCGCAGAGAAGGTCCGAGATCTTACAGCTGGTGAGGGGCAGAGCAAGATGCCAACCTATGCCTGTTGGATTCCAAAGTTTATACTTTAATCGTTCGTCTAGCAGATTCTTACAACAATCCTGGGAGGTGCGTATTCAGTTGTCCGTTTACAGATAAAGAAACTGATACTCAGCAAAGAGACGATGTAATGACATAGGGCACTGCGCAGTCTGCAAAGCAGTTTTACATATGTTGTTTCCTTTGATGCTCAAAACATCTTGGAATTAAATATGATTTTTGTTTGTTAGTCCTATTTTACAGGTGAATAAAGTGAGGCTTGGGGAGGTTGAGGCTTAGCCATAACTAACATTGCTAAGGCTCTGGCAGGAGTTACTCTTTCTCCTTCTCACTGGCTGGACCCAGCCTTGACCTTGTGATGATGATGATGATGTGCTAGGGGACAGGGCCACAGCACAGAAGGCGCCAAATGCTACCTGCCTACTTGGGACACTCACTTCATACTCTTATGGAAAGAGAAATGATCTTCTCCGTTCCTTTTATTATTAACTTTGATAGTAGAGAGGGCTGTTAGAGTCAATCTTGCACTCACACAACACTGAAGATGAAAGCCTTAAATCTGTACCCTGGGTGCCTCACTTTGCTTCATCCTAGTCCTGGCCCTGCGTAATACACATTTATCCAAGGAATGAATCACTCACTTTAGCTTTACAAGACTGTGTCATTTTTTTTTTTTCCTGATATTGCCAGTGCAGGTTCTTTGATTGCTAGTCTTAGGAATCAATTCTGGCTAACTTTACCCAAAAAAGATTTTATTGGCAGGCTAGTGTTTAACTCACAGAGGTAACAGGAAGCTGGAGAATCAGGCTTAGAAAAGGACAGAAAGTGGAGATGCTTTGAGAGTTTAGGCAGGCAAGTGAATCAATTCTATGTTTTTCTTCCCTTTCTTGACCAGAGTTTTCTTTGATGAGTCAAAGTCCCTGGAGCAAGGGTTTGACTGGCTGAGCTCAGGTAACACATCCACACTTTAGCTAAGGAGGGCAGGCACCTTGATGGACAGCTCCACGAAGACTGCACAGAAGTGCAGAGTTCTAGATCCCTCTTCCTCCATCCACCTCAGCTGCTCCCAGTGGGCAACTAGGTTCAGGTGCCCTGTTTTCAGGCTGGGATCAAATAGGAGGAGTACCTGCAACTGAATGTCATGATTACACAAATGCAATTGTGTCTGGCACGTGGGAGAGGATAGCAGAGATTCTGAGCTTTGGAACCTTATAGACCTTTGTGCTATTTACCAGCTGTTTGTCCCTGGGTAAGTTACTAGATCTCTCTGAGCCTGTCTCCTCATGTGTACAATGGGAAGAATAACAGTACCAGCCTTAATGGATTGTTATGAGAAGTGAGATCACTATAAATGTACAACAGTTAGCAAAATGTCTGCATTTAAGTGCTCAATAAATTGTAAATTATAAAATTGTAAAATTATAGTAGGTCTTCCATAAGTACGTATTGTGTCAGTGAATTATCTACCCCTCTCAGTTCTCTAATACATTTGACTTTTGTTTATTTTTTGTTTTTGAGACACAGTCTCCCTCTGTCACTTGGGCTGGAGTGCAGCGGCATGATCTTGGTTCACTGAAACCTCCGCCTCCCAGTTTCAAGAGATTCTCCTGCCTCAGCCTCCCAAGTAGCTGGGACTACAGGTGTGCACCACCACGTCTGGCTAATATTTGTATTTTTAGTAGAGATGGGGTTTCCCCATGTTGACCAGGCTGGTCTCAAACTCCTAACCTCAAGTGATCTGCCTGCCTCAGCCTCCCAAAGTACTGGAATTACAGGCATGAGCCACCGCACCCGGCCTATATGGCCCATCTTTAGAGTGGTGGGGAGCTTAGAGACAAAATCTTTACCATGGTCTACAAGACCCTAGATGATCTGGCACTTTACTTCTCAGACTTAATCTATTCCTACTCTCCTGCTAACTTACTGTTTGAGTCTTACATACTAATTTCCCATTCTTTGAACACACAGTTTCTTCTCATCTCTGTGCCTTTGCACTTGCCGTTCCCTCTCCCGGAATGCTCTTCCCCCAGCTCATCACATGGCTTCCATCTTCACTTTATTCAGGCCATGCTCTGTTATCTCCTCTTCCAAATGTTCTCTGACAACTTTGTCTCCTATCATCCAGCCCTTCCACCCCTCTCTTCCCTTAACCTGCTCTAGCCTTCTCTCTAGCACTGCATGTCATATTACTTTGTTTTGTTTTCTGACTTCTCCATTAGTTGTAAGCTCCATGATGGCAGAGATCTTGACTGTCCTGTTCATAGCTGTATCTCTACTACCTAGAACATATCTATTGTATCTATTATAGTACATAATATGCGGTCAATATCTTATTTTGACCTTGTAAAATAATGGTTGCATCATTGAATAAACAAAAATGACCTGTGGGTAAATGGAAGGTTTCTATGAACTTGACTTATACTTAAATCTCTCTAAACACTTACAGATTAATCATGGCCCTTCTCACATAGAATTATTGTCAAATACAATCCCTGCCACCACACCAAAAGGCCCTTTTTTTTTTTTTTTTTGAGATGGAATCTTGCTCTGTTGCCTAGGCTGAAGTGCAGTGGTGTGACGTTGGCTCACTGCAACTTCCACCCACTAGGTTCAAGCAATTCTTCCACCTCAGCCTCCCAAGTAGCTGGGATTACAGGTACCTGCTGCCACGCCCGGCTAATTTTTTTTTTTTTTTTTTTGTATTTTTATTAGAGACAGGTCTTCACCATGTTGGCCAGAGTGGTCTCAAACTCCTGACCTCAAGTGATCTGCCCACCTTGGCCTCCCAAAGTGCTGGAATTACAGGCATGAGCCACTGTGCCCGTCCCAAAAGGATTTTTACATGGTAGCTCATACATGTCAAAACCTTCATTTATCTGCTAAAGGAAATAGAACTAGCATTTATCATGGGTTTACTATGTGCCAAGGGTTATACTGGAGGCTGTTATACATATTATCACACTTAAAACTGTCAATTTTCTATGGCATATTAGTGTGCCCATTTTGCAGATGAGGAAGATTGAAGACTAGAGATGTGAAAAACTTGCTAAGGCACCTCAGCCTGGCTGGTACCCAGTCAGTCTGACTTTCTCTTTATACCACTCAGTGGAAACAGCATTCCACTGTGCATTTAATTCTTCATTTTTTTCACACTTATTAATCCTGGATATAGATGACACTGTGTATTAAGGTCTTTACATGATTTATCTCATTTGATCCTCATGTTTCTACAAAACACATACTGCTGTCACCTTTACAAACAAGGAAACTGAGGCACAGAGACTTTAGACATTTGCCCACGGTTACCTGGTTGAGTGGTGAAGCCAGTATTTAAACCTGGCTCTGTTTAATTTCAAGGCCTCTGTCTTTTCTGCAATAGCGCGCTGTCTCCCTTAAGACCACTCTCTGCCTCAGATAGAAAGAGAAAAAAGTGGCTAAAACAGGAGAATAAAAGTATCATTAAGAAAATTCATGGTGACTTGGTTCTTGAAACGGGAAGCAAAAGGGCAGGAGGCAGACAGCCAGTCTAGCACCAGCGATTGCAGGCTAGGGGTTCACATAACTCACAATAACTTAATTTGTGAAGATCGTTCTTCCAGGAAGTGGGTGGCGGAGGGGTGGGGGTGGGGGTGGGGGTGGGGGGGTGGGGGGGTGGGTGGCGGGCGGGTGGTGGTGGTTATGGTGTATTTGTGTGAGTGGAGCCCAGGAAGGGGCCGCACTTTCTTGGTGAGCAGTGGCTGTCAGCACCGGGAGGGCGTGCTCAAGCCGCCTGCAGGAGACCAGCGCCCTCTGCTGGCATCAGAAGCCACCTTCCAACATCAAGCAAGCTGGTTGTGTGTGTGGGTGTGTGTGTGTGTGTGTGTGTGTGTGTGTATGGCACTGGAGAAGCAATGAGATTTGAAAATTTTCATTATTATTATTATTTTTTTTTCTGATACAGGGTCTCACTCTGTCTTCCAGGCTGGAGTGCAGTGGTGCGATCATGGCTCACTGTAGCTTCAACCTCCTGGGCAGCGATCCTCCTGCCTTAGCCTCCCGAGTAGCTGTGACTACAGGCATGCGCCACCATTCCTGGGTAATTTTAAAGTTTTTTTGTAGAGATGGGGGCCTCACTATGTTGCCCAGGCTGGTCTCGAACTCCTGGGCTCAAGTGATCCTCCTGCCTTAGCCTCCCAAAGTTTTGGGATTACAGGCATGAGCCACTGCAGCTGGCTGAGATTTGCAAAATTTCTAATGCACACAGTAAATAAAAATAATAGCTGCCACTTAGCAATATAATATTGGAGTGGGGATCAGGGGCTGTTTTAAAGATTTTGCATTAATTTATTTACTCCTAGGGACTTTACATACTGCATCTAATTTAACCTTTACCCCGACCCCCTGAATTAGGAATTATTGTTATGACTTTGATTTTTCACACGAGGAAGCTGACGGAGAGATTAGGTCATTTGCTGTACTGCTATTAAGTGGCAGAGCTGGGGCTTGAACAAGTGGACTCTGACCAGGTCTGTGCCCTGGAAATGACCACACTGCCCTTCTTTGGGTCTGGAGTGCCCCCTGGCAAGTCTCCTCATACAGAGCCTCACTCAGAGCAGACACACAGCAAGGGCTCAGTGCTTCTGAAAATGGTAACCAGGCTGGGACTTGGTGGTGAGTTTGCTGCTTTTTGTATTCAAGCTCAGGGAGGCTGTAGACTCGCTGGGTGTCTGGCCTTAGAATCCCCTGCATCTGTCTGAACCAGAGATAAGCCTCCAGCCACTGCTCAGCTTGGCCCCCCGGAATCTGCTTGTCCAATAGTAACCACATTACAATAGTACAATATTTTGTTTGGCTACAACAAAGCAGACAGTCCTAATGAACAATGCAAAACATTTAGCACCCAGGGAGGTACCAGTACGACAGATCAGAACAGACAGCCCCTCCCCACAGGGTCCCAGGAGACAGTCCCTCTGCCTCCCCCACAGTATGGCCAAGGCTTTTACCCTTTTACTTACTGGAATGTGGGCCACTGGAGATGGAAGATGAGGTCAGGGTTGCTGGGGAAGAGTGGTTTGAGGCAGCTACTATTT